CCTGTCTTCTGTTGCTACTGTGATGACTCAGATTGATTCCGGCTGAAAGGATCCGCACTGGGGTCTCATCTGGTTATTTTTCCGGGTTTCTGTTAATGTCAAAAGGCTTCCAGATTGGTTAGCCTCACTGCAACCCCCACGTTGTGTCCTGTTCGCACATAAGATGCAGGAGCCAGACTGTCAGCTAATTATGTCCCAAGCAATCAGCTAACGAAGCCCCACTGTTCTCGCCTGGAGAACGAGCCTTGTTTCAAAGCCTCTGCAAGAGGAGACAAAAATCAGGCCCCTTCAGAAAAGGAATCTGGAGTGAGGATTTTATCTAGCTCGACACTGCGTTTCCACACTGCTCTTGCCTTGATGTCGTGAGATGTTGATGGCTGTTGTTTCTCCAGCAGCTGTGTGGAGAGAATCCTGGAGCTTCGGGGAGCCCAGAGCTCATCACACACACACACACTACTGTGGAAAAGACACATGACTTTGGTAAACCTCTATGATGTTGATTTTTACAAACTCAAACCAATACAGCACTTTCCTCTCCAAAAGACATCAGCGGTCTTAATTTCTTTGAACAATACGACCTTAGCTTTCTCCTGCAAAGACGGAATGTGGAGGACAAAAACAACAAATTTCCAGTAATTTCTGGGCGTGGAGATGAGATTGCTTGACATAGCAGACCAGAAGAATTCCCAAGATCCTTGGCCGGAGTGTAGAGGCGTTGGGATTGAAGGCACGCAGACTCTGAGGGTGGTTTTGTGGTGTGTGGAATGATAGGTAAATACTTGTCAAAAAGCCCAGCATGGTGCCAGTATGGTGCTGGCACTCAGAAGCGACTACATCCCTGTAGGTGAACCCAACATTAGCTCTCAAGGTTTTGAACGTACTCTGGTTGAGAGGTAGAGAGTTAGCCAACCAATAAGGCAACTGATTCCCTGCTTGGACAAAACATTCACTAAGAAGAAATGACTGACATTGATACTATTTTTATTTGTTTCTTCATTGCTTATTTAATATAATAATCATTTTATGAGGAACATATCTTAAAATCTTTCCAGGCAGGGGAAGCTAACTCAGGGGAAATAAATTATGTGACTACACCATTTCAGTAAACAGAGGTGGTGTTTGCACAGGACCAATGGACTCAGAACAGGAAAGCTTGTGGTTCGCAGCTGAAGTTGCCAGATTATTTCTCTAGGGGTGGATCTGAGAAGAGTTTTGGGCCCTTAGATTCTGGCAAACAGAGGAATAATCTCTTGGGATGTTGGTTACTCTATTACTGTGCTCTGATAATGAAGATTTAAAAATGTAAACCCTGCAAACTCAGTATAGCATCACATGCCTGGAATCCCAACATCCAGAAGGCTGAGACTGGAGGATCTGAAGTTTAAGGTCAAGCTTAGCTACATAAAAAGTTGGAATCTAGCCTGGGCTACATGAAGCACTGTCTCAAAATAAGAAAAGGATGTATTTACATGCAATTTTAAATTCTGCTGAATTAGGACTACAATCAAACTGGAATTTCAAGTATGTGACTTCTAGTATCCATGAGACTGTAGATGTTACCTGTCCCTCCAATGGTGACTACAGAGGCTCTGTTTGCTTTCTCAGAGATGCTTTTAATTGCAGTGAGTCAGGGAGAAAAATCTATCTCCCGTCCTTCTTCCCTCCCTCCCTTTTATTTTAAGACCAGTTCTTACTCTAGTCAGGAGTGACTTGTAACCCACGATGTAGTCCAGATGGGGTTTGAGTTTGCAATGATCTTTCTGTCTCAGCCTTAGGAAAAAAAAAAACTATATACAGTTATAATTCATAATCCATCCCATTGGAAGTTGGAAATCCAGAAATAAAAAATTATAAAAATTATAATTTTAACAATGGTTATAATTATTTTAGTACATGCTTGAGAAATATAGAAGATAATATATGATTGTATACACACACACACACATATATATGCATACATCCTAAAGGTTTGTTAACTAGCATGTTTACATATGCATGAGGTGTCTGTCTTCATCCCATAGGCAATGCTTGGTACACAGACTGACAGAAATGCCTCAGCACCCTCAAGGACCTCTTGCTCTTGGGTTAGGTATCAGGGTTCTCAAGAAAGCACCCACTGTCTTTTCGACTTCTTTCCTTCTAAAATGCAGCACTGTCATGAGTTGCGAACAAAGACTGTTTTTAGGAGGAAATTTGAAAGCAATGACTTGTTGTGACCGACAATGACTTGAAGCATAGAAGAAAATCACTGGCTACCTCAACTGTGTGTTGAGGATTTCAGGGATCAGGAATGATTTTTCTTTTTTAAAAAATGTAATGTATTTGTTAATTCTTTGGGAATTTCATATATGCATACAATGCATTTTCATCACACATTTACCCACACTCTGCCCTCTAACTCCTCCCAAATCCATCCTCCATCTCCCTACCCCTTTCCACTCCATGTTGGAATGCTGACTGGCTTGATCTTGCATTGGTCTTGTGCAGGCAACCGCAGCTGCTAAGAGCTCATGAACACAGCCTTCCTGTCATGTCCAGAACACACCGTTTTGATCCAATTCATCTGGACCTCTGACCATTACTTGGGGCATAGAGGAAAGTCATATGCTAACTACAGTGACAAACTTCATAGTTTTTAAACTTCAACCTATTTTATCTATTGGGAAGAATGTTTTTATGTAGCTTTGAAATTAATGACCAAAGAAATTATACTCTGACTTGTTTCTTTCGGGGTGTCTTCTGTTTATTTTATTTTAAAAAGATTCTTTACCCCGTGCATTCTAGACCTCCATTTAGAGGGTCTTCCTTCAGCTCCTGTCAAGGAGGCCTATTAGGAAGTGAGTAAATTTAATAAACACACAACCGCACTAACTGTGCATCAGCTAATTTGCATGTCTGTGTGGGTCCAAGAGCAGTCATTGTAGGCAAACAGCTGTCTGCCCTCTGTTCCTGTGAGTATGCAAATGAGGCGCTCAGAAGTGTGTCTCCATCAAAAATAGCAAACTAGGGCTAGAAGGCATTTCAGAAGCAGCCTAGGATTGTCCCAGGACCCGGAAACAGAATCTGCTTGATAAGTTCATTCGACGGAGGGGGGAGGCGCAAAATAGAATGCAATACTTTTATTTTATGTTTTTCTATTTCATTCCGGAATAGTCACAAAAAAATTAAAACAAAACACAAATTCATTTTCAAGAAAAAGAACTCTATAAGTCAATTAGCTACTGCCTCTGCTGTCAATGGTAACAAGTATTTGCACTATTAATGTTATGGAATATGACATAAAGTATGACCTCAATATTGAGGACAGGAAGTGAGGTGACATCACAAATGACTTAGTCCTCTGTTTAATTTTATCAGATCGATGTAGCTTATATGACCTTCCAAAAACAGATCTGAGGGGCTGGACAGATGGCTCAGCAACCAAGAGAAACTACTGCTCTTACCAGAGCTCTGGCCTCAGTCCCCACGGTGAACAGCTTACAACCACCTGTAAATCCTGCTCCAGGTGACCCAGTCTTCTTCTGGACTCCAAGGACACCTGTACTCAAGTACACAGACATACATGTGTGCATTTAAAAATAATAAAAAATAAGCCTGGTGGCAGTGGCACATGCCTTTAACACAGGACTTGTGAAGCAGAGGCAGGCAGATATCTGTGAGTTCAAGGTCAGCCTAGTCTACAGTGAGTTCCAAGACAGCCAGAGCTACATAGAGAAACCCTGTCTCAAAAAACCAAAATGAATAAAAATAAATCTTAAAAGATAACAGATTTGAATATCTAAACTTTAAAGGTGTTATTGAGTTCTATCAAATTTTTTCTATTTTCAGAATTTATGATAAAATGAAATTTAAGCAACAAACTTTTTCTTAATACAAATAAATAACCTGTAAATTTGCTTGTCTTGATTTTTGAGTCAAGATCTCACATAGTATAAGATAGCCTTGAACTTGTCATCTAAAAGACACTGACCTTAATTAAACTCCTGGTCGTCTCCCCCCGCCCCCCATACCGCCTCCACCTCCCAAGTGTAGAATTCCACATGTGTGCCACCACATTCAGCTAGTTTTTGTTTGTTTCTACTTTTATAAAAGCCATATGTGTGTTTTACATAAGGAAGAATCACTTAGCAATGGAAGAGAACCCCTTGGAGGGTAGTGAAAGGTACTGAAACTTATCTTCCTATGACAAGTGCTTTCATAAGAGAATTAGACTGTAAAGGATAAACAAAGTCATTGGGACCACTTCCATAAATGACATCCATCGATACATTTATAATGACTGCCTGTTACTAGGACGATTTGCAGTGCTTTGTGCCTGTAAGAACCCCTTTCTCAGTGGCTGTCCCTCTACAGAGTCACACTCTGAAGGATGGGGACTCGGCTTTGGAGTGTGTGTATGTGGGAGGGACCATCTCTGGGTGCTCCGGATACTGACCGACTCATGTAAATGAGTGTGGTAAACGTTGCCAAGCTCTTATTTGTCCTTCACCCGGAGTCCATATTGACTGCTTCAAAAACTCTTTGTATGAGCTATTATTTTCAAATTGTTTCCCGACTTATACTGCAATTGAAAATTGGACAGCTTTTCAATTGCTCTCGCATTCCAATTGATTACCAATACAGTTTTTCAGAATTAAGAATATCAGTCCATTCTCTTCCCTGGCATCATGTTGAGTCTGTGTGGCTTTCATTTAAATATTGCAGCATGGTTTGTGCCTGACTCTGTGTTAAGATAACACACCAGGCAATCAATTAGATTTATTATCTCTTCTCTTGACTCTAGGGTGTGTATCACTGTCGGGGGGAGGTGGGGAAAAACACAAAGCCCTAGACATAATGCTGCCTTCACTTCAAGGTCCCCTAGGATTACTACCAGAACTCGGTTCTGCTGCATCAGACGAGCCTCAAGGTTTACAGCATGTACTTTAGGTGGAGGTGTTTGTAATGAAGAAGTAGTTAATGTATTTCTGGAATAAATGCATTCTGATAGAGTTAGGTTATCAGATCAAATCAATAAATATTTATTGAGTGATCGCTATGAAGGAGTCAGGCTCAACCCTGGAGGGTGGGAAAGGAGAGCCGCACACACATCTTATGTGCTCAGAAACTCTTCAGGAAACACTCAAAGGTGCCTCAGTGTAAAAGGCAAAGAAAACAAAACCCTGGAATTTATGGAAGGCATCTGTGGATCTTTTACAATGATGCTGTGCTGTTCTCAGAGGTCCTGTGAGCATCAGCAGTGGTCCTCATTTCCTGATGAGACAAGCAGGGCCAGGGTAGAGCCCTTTCTCAAGGTCACACAGTGACAGAGAGGCAGAGCTGAATCTTTCACTGTGAGTGGATGTTTCCTGGCTTTGGGGTCAAACTGCCTGGGACCAATTGCTGGATGCTAAGAGGAGCCCCTTGCTCTGACTGGGCTTGTCCCTGTAACAGAAGTACAATTGTGGTGTAATTAATTGACATTAAGTTGCTAAAATTTAAATTGTCATAATGCACCATCCTCTATCAGTACAGGATTCTCCCTGTATATTTGAGTCTAAGACATGTGTGTTTATATAACTGAAGGGAAACTACATATTTCTCTTTGCCTGCTCACTTAACACTTTGTCAGATTTTTAAATTTTTTATATTTAATTTAATCAATTTCTTTTACTTTATGTTTATGCATGTCCTGCCTATTGGATCCTTGGAACTAAGGTTACAGATGGTTGTGAGTGGTGCTGGGAAGTGAACCTGGGTCTTCTACGAGAGCAGCAAGTGCTCTTAACCACTGAGACATCTCCCCAGCCCTTTTGTCAGATTTGAAAAGTATACAGAAAGTTAGATTTTAGAGTAAATGTCCATCCACATGGTCAGCACCCCACTGTTGTCTTTATATTTACTTTTCTTACTTTGTCAGATAGTCTAAACACCCACCAATCTCTTCTAATTCTAAAATACTTTAAGGTAAATCAGAAGCAGAAACTTTGAGGAGTTATTTATACCATAATATAAAGAGACGTATAGTGATACGATAATGTGAGAGGAAATGATTATGATGTTCAAACAAATAAGTTCAAGATTGTCTTGAGCATTGGCTAGCCCAACATTTGTGTAAGGCTGCATTGTTTAGTTAATCTGATTATTACAGCAATCCCACACAGTATAAACATGGATGGAAACAGTTGAACCAAGAAGAGAACTTGGGACTAGACATATGGCTGAGTGATAAAGCATTCTCCTAAAAAACTTAAAGCTCGGAGAGTGAAGGTCAAATCCAAGATCATTTAAGAGGTGGCCTAAACAAGAGTAAATGATTTCTCCCTTTCCAGTCTGCATGCATTAAATATACCACTGTCCTTTTCCTCTTATGTATCTCAGGATAGCCTTGGACTCACGATGTAGTCAAAGATGAACTTGAACTTCTGGGTCTCTAGCTTCCACCTTCTGGGTGCTGAGATGCCAAGCATGCACCTCCATACCCCGTTTATGTGGAACATACACCTGGGGCCTTGTGCATGCTAGACGGGCACTCGACCCAGTGAGTCACCTCCCCGGCACAGTCTTTGTAGGACATATTTACCGTGGCTACATGAAGTTAGGTGTGAATTTTCCACTGATGGTATCATGCTGGCATTCAAAATACACATTCCTATTTTCTGATTAAGGCTGTTCAACCTGCAGTTCAATAGCTGGGGCTGTGTGATAACTGCCTCATTAGGGTGCCTATGACCTCGGTGTTCTACACTTTGACAAAAGCTCCATGTCGAAATTCAATTCACATCCTCTCCATCTGATATTCTACTGCTTTGCAAGTTGCTCTTTATACTTAGTAATCAAGCTATTTCATGGTCTGTAAAGACTTCATAGTCTCTCATTCAATGACAGGCCATGACTACTTAATCTTTTTTGATGGATGTTTCTCTCATTTCTGTCTTTCTATTACAGTGCTAAGTAGGCATTCTTGTCTTCTTATTTCCATTCATATGTGTGATATTTATGGAGGACAACCTTAAAAAGTATGACCACAGAGATTGAGGAGGCTACCGGAGACATAGAGTGATATTTTTTGACATGAACACTATGGAGTATCAACTGTGATATTGAGGAGGTTTTAGACAGGTTGAATTTGAGAAGCCTTTGTGGATGTAATTGGGGTGTTTAGATGCCAGGGCTGCAAGGAGAAGGCAGGAGTGCTGAGGTTGACCTGGGATGGATTCCTGGGGTAGGATAAGATGAAATTAACCAGGGGAAAACATGAATGAAGCATGGGATCAAATTCCTTGAAAAGTTAGAATGTTCTAGAGGTGTTCCAACATTCACAGACTCAGCCACCATGAAGACTGACAAGGACATTGCCATGGGTAGAGTCTGAAGTGCCCTCCAAAGGCCCATCTACAAGGTTTGGTCACCAGTTTGTGGCATTATTGGAACTTGGTAGAACCTTTCAAAAGTGGGACATAGTGAGAGGAAGTCAGGTGGTAACCGGGAGTATGATTTCAAGGGGACTTAGAGACCTGAGCCTGTTCTCTTTGCTTCCTGGTTACCCTGAAGTGAGCAGCCTTCTTCTAGGCCATCACAGGCCCAAAGCCAAGGACTCACGTGACAGGAGCTGAACTGTCTGAGATGGTGAGCAAGAGCGGGGTTTTTTTTTCCTTGTTGTGAGTTGATTTTTCTCAAGTGTTTCATTCTAACAATGGGAAGTTAACACAGACTCAAAGCAGGAGACTTTGATGTTTGAGACCAGTTGAGAAGAAGCTTCTTCAGAAAGAGAATGTGGCCCAAGTGCTCCATATTGCTGAGGTGTAAATTCAGATAAAGATTATTGATTATTGAATTTGGTGTGCAATTCTTTAAAAAGCTAAAAAGCATCAATAACAAGTATAAGAAGTAACTAACGGTATTATTATTTCAATTGATGTTATTTTTTTGAGCCTCCCATCACCACAGATTAAAAAAAGAAACAACTGTTTAGTAATCTATGAAAATAAGGGGAAATAGACATAGGCTCGGAACTTAGGCTTTCAATGTTTTAGGCCGTCAGTCAGCCAATATCAGAAAAACTTGTCACGTGTGAGACCGTCAGTTCAGACCGGATTCTAGCAGGAAATAGAAGTGTGACCTGGAAATGGTTTTCTAGCTGAGTACTGCAAATACCTCTCGCTCATCTCTCTGCTTCTACTCTTAACCCCCTGATGTCATTGGTGTTTCAGATGAACTGGGCTTTTATTTTTATCTATTTATTTTTAGATTTATTTATTTATTTATTTATTTATTTATTTATTTATTTATTTATTTGTGTGTGTGTGTGTGTGTGTGTGTGTGTGTGTGTGTGTGTGTTGCCTTGAATGTATGTACATGCACTTAGTGTGTGCTTGGTGCCTGGTGCCTGAGGAAGGAACTGGAATTACAGGAGGTCATGAGCCATCCTGCTGGTGTTGGGATCTAACTTGGGTCTTCTGCAAGAGCAGCAAGTGCTCTTAACCTCTGAGCTATCTCGCTGATGCCCTGAACTGCTTTTCAAACACTGGGTCTGTGTGTAACTGTTGAATGATCTCATAAAGGTAGCAGAAACCTTAGGCCTCTTCCATGGCCTGTGTCCTTATGATTCCCAAGACTCACTCTCACTTTGTTTGTAATGGCTTTCCAATTCTTTCCCTTAAAAACTCCAAACTCTTGGACCTTGGGGCTTCATGCTTTCTTCATCCCTTTCAGAATTCTCTCTCAGCCTTGGGATTACAACGTCATTGTTCCTAGACTTCATGCCTTCTAGGAAGGCGCTCTACCAACTGAACTGCATTCCCAGCTCTTTATTTTTACTAATGTTAAACTAGCTGAATATTAGCTTCTAAATAGTCTGTCCTCTCTCCACTGATTCATAGCGAGCCATTGCTCACTCAGGGAAAAACAAATGTCATGTGTGCTGTGATACTCTATCTGGCTTACGTCATCTGTTGTCAGAAAAGATCAGCTGCTTTAGCTATTATTACCCCAGAGCCTGTGTTTGATTGACTGAGTTCCTTCTTGTTATATTTGATATTCAGAATCCTCCACATACATTATTCCAAACAAACTTTTAAAAAGTCAGTTTGTCAAACTGAAAAAACAATTTTTTGAGATTGTTTGTGAGATATCCTGATATTTATGTGACAATATGGGGCAATGGCATCTTTAGAATATTGAGTCTTTTAGTCCTCCAACAGACACTTGTCTTTGCATTTATTCCCGTGTTAGTAATGTTCTCCAGTAAAACTTTCCAGTTTCCAAGTCATTCACATGAAAGCTTCACATGGCAGGTTCTCTATGACATGCTCCACCATCTCCTGCTTTGGTGGTCTTGAGACGCCATCTCCTTCCATCTTTTTCTCGGGTGCCTTTACTCCAGTCATGATGAACTCCTTGGTGATCTAGGAACTTGCCAATCTCATCCTAAGAGTCCCTAGGCTTGACATTCCCTGTGCCTAGAGGGAGCCTGTCACCTTTTCACAGCACATGACTCAGTTTCCCAAGACTGCTTCAATGTCAACCTCTCAGGAGGCTTCACTTGGTCCCATTAGGTAAAACAGCTCTCCTCTCCTGCTTCTCTATTCCATGTGCCCTGAACATTTATTCCTACCTTTATTTATTTATTTATTTATATATATATATGCATATATATTTATATATATAAATATATGTGTGTATACATATATATGTATATATACATATATATACATATATATATATATCATACCAGCTTGTAAATTTATTTGTTTGTTATCTCTCATCTCCAAATAGGATAGAAACTTCTGAAATGTAGTGTTTTATCCACTCTTGTCAGAGCCCATGTGAGTGCATGGCACTTGATATATATTTATTGAATGCCAAATGAGTGATTTTCTTAATATAACTATCTAAGTCTTGCTAACTTTTTATTAATTTCCAGCATTTTAATTACTTTATTCCTATTTTAAGTAGAACTACATTTTAATGTTATCTGACTTGTCATCTGTGATATAAAAATATGACCTAGTTTTTAACAAGTGTATCTTAATCAAATTCCAATTATCATAATAGATTTTTGAGTTATTCTATTGGAGTTGCATAAAGAAAATTACTTATTTTCTTTGTCCACATTGTGGGTTGTGCATCTTTGTAAAGTCTTATGCCATTGTCTAGAACCTTCACTAAAAGGTAACAGACTAATTAATGTAGTATCACATTGAAGTGCTTAAGCAACACATTTCATAGCAAAGCACCACACATTTCAGTCTCTTCCCTCTGTAGCAGCTGATCACATGTCAATCATACATCGTAGGTATCGTCTGTCAAGCCTCTGTGCTATGCTGTCTTCTTATAGATCCACACTGTTGCTGTCTCAAACTGGCATGCCATGATCCCACTGGAGATGGAAGGCAGAGTGTGGTAAGGCATTAAAGTTTCTGTTGACGGGGGCCAATATTATGTGTTTCCACGTAACCAAACCACGTGGTCACTACTGTCAGTGAGGTGGGATATGCAGCTCTCAGGGAAGGGGTACTGCAAGTCATATAGCTGAGCCTGCCACTCAGGTGATAGCTAGCTATAAATATGCCCTTAATAAATTAAAGTTATGTGTGGAAATTGCTCTTCTAGTATTGACCTACCTCTATCCCAGAGATGAACCTGTGTGCTTGGCTAACTTGGAGGCTGATTGGTAGTTTTGCATTTGTGTTTTCATTCAATGTCTGTGTCATAGTGCCTTTTTGTTACTGTAATAAAACACTATGACAACAACAATTTAACAAGGGTTCATGGCTCTAAGTTACTGTCCATCACATCGGAGAAGTCACAGCAGTAGGAGCTTGAGGGAGTTGGTCGAATTGCGTCAAAGGTCAAGAAGCAGAGAGATCACGCTCTGTTCACTTTCTCCACTTACACAGCTCAGGCTCCAAGCCTAGGAAATGGTGTTACCCACCATTAAAAAGGGTCTTTCCACATCAACTAGTGTAACCAAGACCCTCACCCACAAGCATGCTATGAGGGTCATCGTTCAGGCAATTCTGCATTTGGCAAGTTGTTAGTTACCACTACACCACAGTCCACACAGCACCGGGGACTGAGAGTTCATAGTACCTGCCTTCCGAGAGTGTGTGGCCTGCTGGCAGAATTGGACATTTTAAATGAATTATTCAATTGTAACTGAAGTGGCAAATAAGGTATTACCATAACTAGACAAATAGAGGAGATCTGAGCAGCATTAAAAGGGAAAAAGTAAGGATGGAGGAAATTCCTTTTTTTTTGTTTTTGTTTTTGTTTTTGTTTTTGTTTTTCAAGGCAGAGTTTCTCTATGTAACAGTCCTGGCTGTCCTGGAACTCACTCTGCAGACCAGGCTGGCCTCGAACTCAGAGATCTGCCTGTCTCTGCCTCTCGGGTTAAAGGGATTAAAGGCATGTGCCACCACCATCCAGGCCAATGAAGTGAGTTAAAAACAACACCCAGGCTCCAAAGTAGGGTAGAGACCACTGTTTCATAGATTAGGCAGGGGAAGGGTGGGGGCTACCATGGATGTGAAGAAAACACCAGATCAGAGAGTGTCTAGAGATGACGATGTGATCAAGCAGAGCTGGGTAACCATAGAGAGTTTTGCAAAAGAAATTGAACACTTGATCTGTTTTTAGAGTCAGAGAAGACCTTACATAAATGATTTTAATTATGGGATCAAGAAGGATTGGAGTAGAGAGCATGTTTTATGATGAGTAGTGACGAGATGAATAGATTCATTTATGCATGTTAAGGCAAGATTGGGGGTCCTGGCAGTGAAATTGGCTGAGAGAAATAAAACTGGATTTGTTCATCAAACATGCAGGGATGAGGGAGAATGTGTCAAGGGGATATCATTTGTAAAACTGGGTATTCAATGAAGCAATGACTTAAAATGAATAGAAAGTGGGATTATGAGGGAGGTCATGAGACTAATTCCAAATTGCACATCCAGGAAGTGACTGTAAGGTGGTCAAGTCGAGCCATTAAATGACACTTGGATGTATGCTGTGGAGCTCAGAGTGGGACAGCAGGAGGGACCAGTTTGAGAGTTTTCAGGACAAATGAAATTTGTCAATACATTTTCCATCAGCATTTCAACCTTCTTGGGTCTTCTTCTGTCAAGGGAATAAGCCATGGTCTGCACACTTCCCATCTGTTTTCCTCGTACTTTACCTTCCAGCCAAACTTCCTAGAAATGAATGTCACCAAAGACTTCTCTTCCAGTCCTACATTTTGCATAAGCTTCACAATCAACATTAAGAGAGAATTTGTTCATTCTACCCTGAGACTTCCCTTGCTGGTAAATATTTGTCATGACTGCTAGAGAAATTCCAGTTGTAAATCTGTCTCTTCACTTCAATGATGACCCAAACCTTCCCTCCCATCTGGGCCATCCTTGGTTGACACAAACAGTACAGTGCGCCAGTTGACAACCTCTTTTACTCTTAGCTGAAACCTAGGACATCTTATTCTCATGAAAAAGAAATCAATAAAAAAAATCCTATTGTTCAGAAACAAGCAAAAGGATAGTGGCAAAGCAATACCATCATGTCCCGGGTCTCATCAAAGCCAGGTAGACACCGTTCATGGAAGTGGGAAGATGGGAGCAGCATCCCTTCTGAGACATTCATAGGAATCACCACCTAGACCAATGGATGATCTGGTTTCCATGACAACTAATTTGTTATCACTTCAAAACAATCACTTCTAGAACTTTTATTTGCTCTGCTATAGTAAACACTTTGGTATGACTTTCCAACGTTTTGCAGGCCACTCGTCTTCCTGTTCTTTCTTGTTAACAGTATCCTAATTTGGCATGTGTCATTCCTAGGATACACATGGTCGGATTCCCTAGGTACTAGAAATGAGCATGACAATCCTCTGGATAATAAGATTAAAACAAGACTTTACTAGATTAATGTAAAAGGATACAGTTTTATCTTTTCTTCCTACCATAAGTAAATATCCGCCTAATGTCTGGAGATGCAGTTGTATCATGGCCAGAAGGCAACAAAAATAAAGATTTAAGAAAATCAGAATATAAAGTTAGTTTGTCCAACAGCTAAAATCTGCACAGCATATATTAGCAATCTCCTTAGTATTTGAGATAACTAAATCCCTATTTTTTGTCGTCAATGATCAAATATACCATACATGCAGCCAAACATATGTTTTCCCCTAGATTTGTTGCCAATGTATAGAATTCAATGTCTTAGGCTTGGGATATAGTATTTCCGTAACTTGCTTGCTGCACAGGTGTAGGTTCAATCACCAGAACCTGTGTAAAAGAGCTGGACATGATGGTGTGTGCTTGTAATCCCATCTCTAGGAATCAGAAAGAGGCAGGGGTCTGGGGCTGGCTCATCAGCTAACCTAGCCTAATAGATAAGCTCCACCCTTGTGAAAGACGATATCACAAAAATCAAGGTTAGTGTTGCCTGAGGAAAAGCACTTTCGGTTGTCTTCTGCTCTCTCCCTCTCTCTCTCTCTCTCTCTCTCTCTCTCTCTCTCTCTCTCACACACACACACACACACACACACATACATACACACACACACGAGTAAGCACACATATGTATACTTCAACACAAATGAACACACACACACACACACACACAAATAAATGAAACTTTCCCAAACAAATGGGATAGTTTTGCATGTCACATGTGTTATAAATGACATATATGTGCCACATTCTCATAACTTTTTTGTGTATTTTCTCCACCTTGCACATCTGCCTGTCTTGTTAGAGAGCCCTGTGGGTTTTCTTTCTGTTTGTTTATGACCTCACACTTTGGTCTTGGTAATATCTCCCTCTACTCCAGCCAGCGCGGTCTTTGTGCTTTCTAGACTGCTGTCCAGGGCACCATCACTTCACCTCTCCCAATCTCATTATGGAGCCCTCTGCACAGCTAAGATTACCCAGGACGTGAGGAAGAGATAAAGTCCCTAGTACGCAATGCTCCTTCCTCCTCATAATCTTCTATCATGTTACAGTCTTTTCGTCCAAATGCTTCATTTTAATCAAATTGTCCCCTTGACCTAAATATATCTACCAGATACACTTGCTCAGTATTAAATTCAACCTTATCCTCTTCCATTCCTCAAATCCTACTCATTTCCCAAGATTCAGCTCAAATCCCACCTCCTCTGCTGTAGCTTGCTCATACACCATGGCCGGGTCTTGTCTTCCCTTCCTTTCAAATCCAGCTTTTAATATTAGTGTTATTTTCATCTTCTCTTACACCTACAGAGTATAGGCCAGCTACCCTGAGCTAATCAGCCATTCTCCAAACAAACTTTATCTTTGTCCAGGCTATTTTTGCAGGCTGAAGCATCCTTCATCCTTTCTTCATCCTGGAAATGTTTCCCATTAATGAAGACACAGTTCCAAGTCTTCTTCCTTTTACTCCAAGGCTGTGGTGACCAGGTCTCCCCGAAGTCTTCGTTTTGTCTTATGTTTACATGATTTCCTTTTTTACAAAGACCTATCACTATTGCAACTTTGTAGTGTATGTCCCACGTCCTCAATCCTAATGCATCAAAGCAGAGCTCTCTGATGGTCTCAGCCAGACCTCTCGTTAATCAAAGAAATAATAAGCCTTCAGACAGGTAGTGACTTACAGTCACAGCATTCAGTTCAGGGCCCAGTCCTGCGTCAGTGCTCAGAATAAAAAGATGAATGAGAGACAGCCGCATCCTACAATGAGCTAGGAATTTAGTCAAGATGTCAGGTATATTTAATGAGTAAATCACAGCTCTCTATTTGGGGGAAGAAAATCATCATGACAATCATACTGTACCATATACTTTCTGACACTTCCACAATGCAGAAGATGAATTCAACTTACAGAGACAACTATAGAGAATTTTTAAATGCTAGCAAGTAAATTAATTTCCTACTAATTTAAAATCTGTAAGAAATGATCCATAAAGATGAGCCATCAACCAAGATAACTTAAATCAAACTACATCTACATTGGTTTGCTATTGTTTGTTATTATGCATTGGAGAATGACCTTGAACTTCTAATGCTTGGAGTTTCACTTTCTGAGTCCTGGGATTTCAGGCTCACAGAACTCTACCCAACTCATGAAGTGCTCGGGATTGAACCCAGGACTTCATAAACACTAGGAAAAGGCTCTAGCAACTCAGGTACTTCCTGCCTTCTACAACATAGTTTTTATTGCTTCAAACATCCTCATTATTATGTAAATACAAAATTAAACAGATTAAGCAAATATGTGTTATTCTATTTAATGTGAATAAATTTAATTGTTGCTTTCTTGTTTTGAAAATACTCATTTATGCCCAGATAGTCAAATTGAAGTTCATCTAGTCTTTATTTTGCAAGAGAGGTCATAAACAAAAACGTGTATGATCTTTCTGGGATCCTTAAGTTATTTGATATAGCCAGTGGCAGATTGTTTTCCAAAATGGATGAGTGGATTGTTGGCACAGTCACAGTTCTGGGTGAGGACCACTCCTTCCCATAGTCAGACAGAGACTGGACCATGTGTGTTCAAATCAAATTTCTACTTAAAGAACTGCTTGCTTTGGTACCTCCTACTTAAAGATCCACTCTACTTACTTGTCACCAAGCAATCGGTGTATGTACAACACATTATTGCTTTTTCCCCTTTTACTGAAAATAGATTCTTTCCTCACCTGATTACGGTTTCTCCTTGCTCTACTAATCCCAGTTTGTCTCCACCTCCCCTCCCATCTGGATCCAACTCCCTTTATGTCTCTCATTATAAAAGAACAGGCTTCTAAGGGATGATAATAAAAATACAACAAAATAAGATAAGATAAAAACAAAAACTAACAAATCAGAGTTAGACAAGACAAATAAACAAAAGAAAAAGAGCCCAAGGGAAGGCACAAAAAACAGAGACCCACTGGTTCGCACACTAGGAAATCCCGTAAAGACACTAAACTGGAAGGAATCATATGTGCAAAGAGGACCTGGTGCAGACCCGTGCTGGCCATGTGCATGCTGCATCGGTCTCTGTGAGTCCTTAGGAGCTTTGCTCAGCTGATTGAGAGAGCTTTGTTATCTTGATGTCTTCCACCTCCTCTGGCTCTTCCACTCTTCCTCTCTCCTCTTCCACAGGGTTCCCTGAGCGCTAAGGGGAGGGATTTGATGAAGATATCCCATTCAGGGATTTATTGTTAATATAATAATAAAATTTATTTTTAATAAAGGAAGTCATCCTATTATCTTCCATAACTATTATCATAATTTCATGTGTTTTAGTCTAAGTGAAGTATAACCTATGGCCACTAAAAGGAAGAAGGTACGTCATGATCAGATAAAATCAGCATGCCACAAGGTGCTGAGGACCAAGTCTTTTAAGACCATAAGAAATGAAGTCGGAGTGGTTAAAAGTGAGCTTGTATTTGCTTAGTATGGGTGCATCTAGTACCGTCTTTTTTTCCCTGACAAGCTAAGTCTGCAACAAGTCATATGTTATCTTCTCCAATGAATAGGATCCTGAATTAAATGTGCCGCAGGAGCAATAGCTTCCCTTTTCATAATGTGTAAAGAAGAGCTTCAAAAAAATATTGGTGGTCGGAGAGGAAAGCTAGGCTGCAACATCCAGGGTCATTCTGAATATGACTCATGTCGAGTTTATTTATCAAGAGTGGTTGAGAATGTTGATGTGGGGTAAGCCCTGTTATCTCAGGGATAACAACTCCAGACTGGCTTCAGACTTGCTTTTCATGTGACAACAGGACTCAGGAATCCTCCAAAGTAAACCTTAAAAATACTTGTAAGAGAAAGTCCACCAAGTGCCACTGGCCACGGGTCAGCTCTCTCTGTGTGTTTGGCATCTGTTTAGATGATAAACAGCATAAGGAGTCGAGCTCTGAGTGAAGTGGCCCAATGACATCAGAGGGGGATGGGGCTTGGCTTCCATTTAGCGTACTTAAACATTAAGGAAAGGGTGATTTCATTTTCCTAGTGGCCCTGGACAATTCAGACTGCTGAAACAACCTCACAGTCTGGGTGACTGAAAGGACAAATGTTCATTATTCATGGTTGGGGAGAAACTGGAAGACGACCGTCAGGATGCCAGCATGAACAGGCCTTGGTGAGGGCCCACTCCCTGGTTGGCAGAATGCTGCTTTCCCTCTGCATTCTAGACGATGAGGGGTAAGAGCCCTGGAGTCTCCCTCCCTTGTGAATCCCATCTGAACCCCCACTTCCTAATGACGTCACACTGGGAGTTTAGAATTTTTCCTGGGGAGTCTGTAGTCACAGCCATGCATTGAAGGCAACCATAGGCCATAGTAACAACTCCACCCAAGGCTAACTTGTTGAACCCATGAGTTTTCTGGGGTGACTCACAGGAGTATGGATGAGGAGCCAGCCATTTTTTTTTTTTTTTTTGCTTTTGACACATGATCTCTTTCATGTAATTCAGGCTGGCCTCAAACAGGGTAATCTTACAAAGTGCATGTGCCACCATGCCCAGCCAAAAGATCTTGAGCTGGACACCATCTGCATGCCCTTTATGATCGACACAAGAACACAAAGGAACTGGCCATTCTCCCAGTTTGCCGCCCCAGCAGCTGGCATTTAACCTTTAGTAAAGATCAGGGTTGAGACTACTGTCTCCTTGTGCTTTAAACCACATCTTGCAAAAC